AAAACAGTCAATTAAGCCAACCAGTTAAAACCAGTCTAATGTAATAGAACATTTGTATTAATCTTTATATCATTTGAAGAAATCTCTCACATGTTTAGTGCTCTGAAAACTAAGATGTGATGAATACATCAGAACTGCCTACACAAACACTTGAGCAAACTCTGTATACAGCATGGAACTGAATGAAAAATGGCTGAAACAAACATTAAAGCCCAGACTAAACAAAGATCATGGAACTGCTCTGAGTGTGATGGTGCGAGATCAGAGATTAAATTTCCTTAGCCATCACTAGCAATGATGGTGGCCTTTATTTTCTGCTTTATTTACTGGAACTGTAAATATGAATGATTTCGCTGATGCACTGTTTTTGGTTTGCATAATCTGAAAGTGATTAAAAATTCTTGTAGCTGCGGTTTGTCAAAATCTGGGTTACTTAGAGTTTTTAGTTTTACCATCTTTGCAAAAGTATTTATACATTACAGTTCAACCGTTTGGGGTTGGTAAGATTTTGTAGTGTTCTTGAAAGTAGTCTCTTATGCTTACCAAGGCTGCATTTATTTGATCAAAACAATACAGTAAAAACAGTAACATAATGAAACAATTTAAAATAGGTATTTTTCTATTTGAACACATTACAAAATGTAATTTATTCCTGTGATGGCAAAGCTGAATTTTCAGCAATCTTCAATGTCATGAACCTCCAGAAATCATTTTAATATGCTGATCTGCAGCTCAAAAAACATTTCTTATTATTATCAGTGTTGAAAACAACTGTGTTGCTTAATATCTTGTGGAAACCTAATACATTTTCAGGATCCTTTGATGAATAAAAAATCCAAATGAACATAATTTATTTGCAATAGAAATCTTTTGTAACAATATACACATTGTTAGTCACTTTTGATCAACTGAATACGTCCAGGGCTCCAGACTAACATTTGAGAGCAGTGGCACCAGCGCCACTAAGTTCTACAGATGGTGGTGCCAGGATCATTTTAGAGCGTTAATGTGCGGGAAATAGTTGTGTGAAATGCTTGAAAGTCATTGAAAAGTGCTTGAATTTTTCTCTCAAAAGGTTGTAAATCAATGTAATGCATTCGACTATTTCTAAAACAACACCATGGTTACAGTTAGCATTACCGCTTCTGGTTTCCTGACGTATGTCAGCACTGTTTATAACAGAGAATGATTCTCACTAGATCTCACAGCAACCTTATCATTGTGCGGCGAATTCAAACGCTTCTCACTGGATCTCGCAGCACTGTTGCATCTGTGCAGTAACAGTGTCGCGAAATCAACTTAGGATCCCGAATAAAGCTGTTCTGAGCTCGGACGAGTTTGTTTGCGTCGTGGTCTGAGTTGATAAACGGTCCGCGCTGCATGCGCAGCTGAAACGTAGCGCGGTTTAGTTTAGCTTTCGTTTCATTTGCCGTTTGATGTTTCAGTGCTTATGAGTTGGACAATGCGGTTGTTGCGCCAGTGCGACCGCTCACAAAAATTAGTCGCACCGGCAGAAAAAATGGTCGCAAAATGCGACCATTTGGTCACAGACTGGAGCCCTGACGTCCCTATGAAATATAAGCAGGGCTCCAGACTGCGACCATTTTTTCTGCCTGTGTGACAACATTTTGTGAGCAGTCGCACTGGCGCAACCACCGCGTAGGGGTGGGCGGATCGATCCTAATATCGATAATATCGATACCAATGTTGGTATTGGTATCGGATCGATACTAGCCTGATTAGATCGATACTTTAGGTTAATTTTCTCTCCTCTACACTTAATATATTGCTTAATACATTCAACAAAGAGTAGACATGTCTGTGTTTGCATATGCCACTCTTTTCACATCTCGTATTCAAACATTGCTGCTCCTCCCCTGCTATGCTGTTTTGTTGTCATGCCATCACGTGACTCAGTGGCTCCAAGCACAAGTGGATACTTTTGGCTACAGAGAGAGATGGAACGGTAGAAATTCGCTACTGTAGGCTTGTTTGAGATGCACCTCGCCTCGCCTGAAATGTAAGCGAGAGTAGGCAGCTGCAGTGAGGGGAGGAGTGAAACAAGTGCAGTCAAGACGGACAGTTCGGACCTCTCGAAGTAGAACTGATACCTACAAGATCAAAGGCGGATATCGCGTTATTCTCACTCATATGCTGTGTTGCTGATAAACATATCATTTCAGTTCTGTTGCTTTTATATGAAAATAAATATGATGAACAAGACACTCAAAGTGCTTGCTAATTAATTCCATACGAAAGGTGTATTTATCATCCATTTTTACCTTTATACAAACATGTATTTTACATTTTTATAGAAATATAACAATCACATATCTCACACAGAGATCGCATAGTCATAGTCATAGTGTTTGGGAATATTCACACATAAATGAAATTAATGAATATGAAATATGAAATAAAACATTTTAGAAGAGAGCTCAACATCACGGTTGTCTGAACCAATGAGCATTAAGCCGTGTCGTCAGCCAGTCGTTTCCCCATCATGCTTTTGATCAGCGCAGTCGGTGGAGAGCAACTGCGCTCGACTGCACAATCCGACACAGCCGCCTCGCCGTCGCGAGAGTTTTTTGGCACACGTCAGCATGACATCAGAGCAAGTTGGATGTAACTCGGACACTTTTCTAACCGGCATGCATCTCTTGGTGATCACCGGTGATCAGTTCTGCGCAGATTTTGCTCATCTCAAACAAGCCTTGTGACCAACTTATACACCTTATTTTTCAATATGGAAGTAAGCTTTTGTGTGAATGCGCGAGACTTCCGCTTCATTAGGCACGGTAGGGAAATAACGTGAAAAATAACAAAGTGCAATAAACAGTAAAATTGTTTGTGCTATCCACCCTGTGTGTTTATAATTAAGACAATACATTAAAATAATATGGTAAGAAACACCGCTTTGCAACACCAAGCAGCAAAACGAGCTGTTTTGTACAACTAAAAATTGCTGGAAGCGGATGAGACTGTAAGCCAGACCCATTAAATTTACAGAATTTGGCCTTTTTATACGGTATTACTGTCTTTAACCATTAAGCCACATTAAGTTTTTATAACGGTTTTCTATCAGAGGAAAACACTTTACATGCATGCACTTTGCATTCATATCCTGGGCTGCTTGCCTGCATATAGTTTGCATCATCAGTATACTGAGTTGGCCGTTTAATATTACTTTCTTAATGCAGTAAGCCACGTTAAGTTTTTTGTTCTTTATAACTCTTTTCTATGGAAGGAAAAAGCTTAACATTAAACTTTGCATTTCTTTCAAATTCTGGGCTCATCTGCTAGCAAACTCCTTTCAGAAAGACAAAGAATATCCACATAGCTTTAAGGTGAATGTAATATTTTAGTCATATCAACATTAGTTATTGCTAATTTTCGAAGTGTAATTGGTCATTTAAATGTATGTCATTAAAAGGAAAAAGTATCGGTATCAGTATCGGCGATACTGGCCCTGTATTTACTTGGTATCGGATCGATAACAAAATTTGCAGTATCGCACACCCCTACCACCGCGTTGTTTAACTCATAAGCGCTGCCATTTCTGTTGCATATGTGAAACATCAAACGGCAAAAGAAACTGAAAGCATAACGAAACTGCGCTACATTTGAACTGCGCAGTGCTTCGAGTGTAGAGCATGGTTTATACTCGCCGCGTCAGCGCTAGCGCGAGCGAAGGTATGCATAGCAAAGATGACGCGAATATTGAGGAAACAATGGATGGTTTTCATGCTAAAGTAAAGTAAAAGACCGCTTCTTAAACCAAAGGTGAACATGTTGGTATTCTTGTGGGGGGAAAAAAACATGCAAGCACGGTCACCAACAGCAAGTTTAGTTTTAATTTTCTTTTTGTTTTCATTTGCGTTATCTTTGCTGTTTACCTCACGTTATGCTATGGAGGCTCTCTTTTATTTATTTTTTAATTTGATTCCTCAGTGTTTACTAAACGTTCTGTAATTTATTAGTCTGCATATAATACAGCATGTGGTGTATGCCATGCCTCATCTTATTCATTTTTGTTAATAAACGTTTTGTAAGCTAGTTTGTCATTGTATCTTACTGTTTTATTGTTGTTGTGCTTTTTAATTAAGAATAACAATGAATCCATCTTTCGTTTTAGTCTTAAAAAGCGAAAGGTATAGATGTAAGCAAAACAGACGTGACAACGTGTGTACGCACTCTGGCGTAGTTTACGTTAATGGGTGTGTTGATATCCAGCCGAAGAGCAATCAACCATAACTTCAGGCGAGCAGGCTCAGAAGTTGGGAATACGTGGAAAGTCACCACTCCCGAATAAGTTCGCGCGAGAGACAGTAATCTTTTAGTTTTAAGTCGGTTTGAACAATCCGGATAAGCGCAAGTAAAGAATTCAATTATTTATTTTAATTATCTAGCCTGTCATGTTTACTGTTCCAAAATGTTCTATGTTTCTTAAAAAATAAAAAGTATTGTGTTCAGTGGGAAAAAAAAAAAAGTTTTTTACCCAGACTTTTAAAAATAACATATTTTAGAGCTGTAATCACAATACAGTGATACCGTGAAACCGTGATATTTTATCTAAGGTTATCATACTGTCAGAATCTAATACCGGCCCATGCCTAGTCTGGAGCCCTGAATAGAAGTATTAATTTCTTTAAACAAATTCCCAAAATGACCCCAAATTTTTGAACAGCAGTGTTCCAACAGCATTTTTACACAGTGAGCCAATTCAAAAGTGATATTCGATGTTAAAAAAGCCAAAAAGTCATCACACTCATGCAAATATAAATAATGATCTGATCAAATTTCAAATGGTTTTTAATATCTGCCTGAGAAAGCCAGTCTGACCATTCAAACAGTCTGCAAATCATGCCATCTCCAATCTGTGCAACTAAATTGTTCCTGCAGCAGAGAAGCAACAGCAAACCGGTAACAGCATCCAAAAAGCTGACCTGGACATCAGTAATGTTCACAAACACATTATGTTCATCTGAAACTGTACTCACCAGAACTGTGAATTTCCCACTGAGTAACTCGCTTCTTAAAGGCTCCTCATTTGGGTTAATATTGTAGATGCCTTCCTTTATTCTGGTGTTCTGCAGACACACAAGAATTAAAATGTACACAGACTCACACAGTGAATTTTATCATCTGAGCTGTACTGTATATTGTACCTTGTAAGCCTGAAAGAGGTCTATGGCTCTGGAGACATCAAACTTTCTTGCCATGAGGAACTTAACTGCTGTCATCTGACTGACAAGATCTGCATTCTGAGACTGTTCCTGACACCTCAGCTCAGCCAGGAACTCCTCCACCGCCTGGCGCACACACAAACATAAATTGCATCAGGAGGTTTACTCTATCCAATACTGAAAAAGCATGTTTAATGTCAGCTAAACATCCCACTCACAGCATCTATTTTTTATTTATTTATATTTATTGTAATGCAAGTTGTACTTTATAGTGTTGATTGGCTCTGGCTGCCGTCACTAGTGATAAACCAATGTATCAACCTCAAAGATAAATCAGTTGATATTTGGCATTTTGAGATCACCAGCATTGCCAATAAACACGCTGGCTTGAACAAAGTATGGCTGATTAGCATGACACCATCTGGCTGGAAATAACATCATTTTCTATTGACAGACATTCAAAAGTCAATGTTTATTCTGGAAAAGCAAGTGGAGATGAATGGGAACGCAGAATGGATTGCTTTCTTCAGGTGTTAACTATAATAGAAATGTTAGCTCTCCCTTGTGTAAAATCCAAAATGTATCAATGGCTTTGTCAATTAATAATCTTTTTTTTAATAGTTTAAGTGAATTTTGAGTGGTTATTATGTAGGGCTGCATGTTAACAGTTAATCTAAATTTCTGTTATTAAAAATACATTATGATAATTCTCACCCTCACATAGGTACTAAACAAGAGAATGTGCTCGTAATGATGTGCTTGCAGATTTATTTGCAGCAAACAACACAAACGATCTTGCGAAAGGAAACCGACTGGCTTTATTACACTTTTATTTAAGCAGAATATCTCAAGAGATTGCTCCAACTTACATGTTTGCCAATGTTTTCAGCTCATCTGTGCTTTTTCTGTATTGCAGAGAAAGCATGTTCGCATGGTTGCCTGGTAGATTAAGTAAACCACTAGGCAGAAAATGTATCAATTTAAGAGAAAGGCTTGTTTCAGTATAAATAATGAGTAGGCAAATAGCACAGGGGATTACGCTTAACAAAAAGAGCAAAGCAAAAATCATGATCATGATTAAAAAATGTAATCATTTGAGTGTACACTATTGTTCAAAAATTTGGGGCCAGTATGATTTTTAAAAAAAGAAATTAACACTTTTATTCAACATGCACACAATAAATTGATCAACAGCTAAAACATTAAAGACATTTATGTTGTGAAATACTTTTATTTCAAATAAATAATGTTCTTTTGAACTTTCTATTCTTCAAAGAATCCTGAAAAAAATGCAATCACAGTTTCCACAAAAATCCGCAAAAACGTTTTCAACATTGAAGATAATTTTCTTGTGAAGCAAATCAGTATATTCGAATGATTTCTAAAGGGTCATGCATGTGACAGTGAAGACTGGTGTATTGACTGCTGAAAATTCAGCTTTACCATCACAACGACAAATTACATTTTAAAATATAATAAACAGAAAATGTTCATTTTAAATAATATTTTACATTACTGTTTTACTGCATTTAAAGCATTATTGTCAGCATAAAAGACTTCTTTAGGGAAAAAAATAATTTAAAAATCCTAAAGATAATGCATAAATTTACATCTCAGTTGTAATAATCAAAATCTTTTTGATAGACTATAATATTAGGCTAGCAATCCCACTCTCTAACACATATTTCCAGCCAATGAATCCCTATATCGGGTGACCACCAGCTAATGTACTAATAATGTACCAGTCGATCTAAAGTACGTTGCTCTGATACACCTGATTTTCCAAAGGGTGTCCAAAAGCAAACCTGAACCACTTTTGCAGTACGTTACCTTAAGATGACACATAAGCAGGATGATCTGACAGCTGTAAAGAGAGACGGATCGTGCTGACAGAAGTTATGCTACACTCATATTACACCGTTTCCTCAACGAGTCAGAACAAATGGCACCTCCAGCACTACATATGAGTGTTCTCACGGTAAGACGGACAGAACTGAGAACTGTCTCACATTTTCCAACACAGGAGCACATTAGACACCCGGCTCGCTGTGTTAACAACAGCGACATGGAGATTCACAAATCCCTACGCATGACAGGCCAGCGATGCAGATTTGTTATAATAGCTTTTATCTAATGAAGTCATGCTGTAATAATATTAATGTGAACAGACTAACGTTAGATAGACCGCGAACCACATTCACGTTGTATGTCAACCTAATGTTACTTACTGCTAGACAGCTTGTGTTAAATCCAACACACGTAAGAGTCATTTTACAATGCTATACACCAGTTTCCTAAAATTCTACAATCATACCGGCCAATAAATATTTATTAAACCGTTATGCGTGTGTATTAACAGTTACCCTGTAGAGCGTCGCTAGTTCGCTAACACGGCTAACGTTAGCATTTACCTCAGCTAACGTTAAGTTACCTCAAAAACAGCCACTGGGCCGCGATTCTCATTAACATCTCTGTTAATAAAAAATTATTAACTGTATTATATGGCATATCATCTTAATACTTGCTACACGGCTCAGCGTGAAACGCCAAGGAATTTACGAAGGGCTTAGTGGAAATATTTAGGTATCTTACCACCTCCTCTTGAGTTGTCGGGGCTTCCGCCATCTTGAAGCCTGAGCAGCAACGTCTACTGGCGGGGCGCGTCAGGATGGCGCGCATGCGCAGTAATGTGGCAAACCCCATGCTTGGAAGTTGGAAGCTAACACATAAGATATTTATGAATTTGAGTAAGTAGGCAAGAAGGGAATAGGCTGGGATAGTATATTTTCAAGACAAATGTTCCAAATCTGTGGCATTCTATTTATATAACAATTATTAACTGTACTAACTTAAGTTTGTGAGCTTATTTGCCTAATAACTTCAATCAGTTGGCCGGTTAGCTCAGTTGGTTAGAGCGTGGTGCTAATAACGCCAAGGTCGCGGGTTCGATCCCCGTACTGGCCAAAGATAAATTTATTTATTATTAATTTGTAAGCACTACAGCTATGATTTCACACGTCAAAGGTCTTACAAATCTTATGTCTAGACCTGTTATTCTGTTAAACAACATGACTAATGTGTTCATTACCTGTTTCACATCTATTTAAGCTTCCTCACATACACTACAACTTTTCTTTAGTAATTGAAAAACAAAGAATTCCATATTTTCATGTTTTATTTTATAATACAAAAAAGAACAAACAGTGTCCAGTGGTATGGGAGTCTGATATATGATCATCTCTTTCCTCTGCAGTGCTGAGGTTCATTTTTGTTTAGAAGGCTTCGTGGATTTCCTTAAAAAAGATTATATTTGGTTATATCACACACTGTATAAGTTGCAGTATGTTGTACTTTTACTTTGAGATAAGAGGATAGATTTAATGTCTTTACTCACTGGGCTTCTTCGTTAAGAATGACAACTTCCTCCTCTTCACTGTCAGAGATTACCAGCACCTCATCTATGCACACACACAGAGATTGGATTTTTGTGTTTCATGAGGACTCTCCATAGACATGTTTTTATACTGTACAAACTTTATATTTATATTCTATCCCCCAACCCTAAACCTTCCAAAAAGACATAACAACACACACACACACACACACACAATTTAGTAATGTTTATAAGCTGTTTTCTTCATAGGGACAAAATTTGTTAGCCACAATATAAAAAAAATTCAGCTTTACTATTCTTGTGGTGACATTTAGTCCCTACAACATACAAAATATCTGGACCATACACACAAACAGACTCTTTTTTTTTTCAGAACGGATATATAAAGTGTATTTACAATCACTCTGTAGCACAAAAACACACAAGTCTCACACACTACCTGTTTTTGTGTCCTCTGTCTGAGGTTCATCCTCTTCGTCCTCATCGAGTCCCCATGAGTTCACGATGCCCTCACCTACCTGTGCAGTTCCCATTGCAACAAGAACAGGAGAGGAAACACTGGCTCTGGGGTCAAGGAGTAATATTTGGGTAAAATAATTTGCCTGGCACAGCAATACAATAAGACAATATTGCCTTTACATTTCATGCATCTCCTCTGAGACATCACTCGTCTCTCAACAAGATATTAAAACATTCTCAATTAACGTGAGTTCTTCTAAAACTCTCCTTAAATATTCTGTATGGGCCAATAGATACGCTTCTGTGGGAGTTTCTGTTCTGTTCACAATCTCATTGGCAGTCTCTTTGACACCTGTCATCTCCACTGGGGCTTCGTCTCTCTTAAGGGTTGTGATGCGCTCTTTGGGCATGGACTCAGCAAAGCCAAACTTTCCACCCTCCTTTCTAAAAAGAACAAGTGGATTAAAAAAAAAACATAAAACTGTAAATTAATTTAATATAAATGTATAATATAAATGTAAATTATTCCATCGCTTTATATTTGCTGTAATAAAACAGAAAGAATGATAAGAAGCCTTTTATTTTTTAATTAAAAAAGCTTTTAAATTTAAGATCAAATTTAAATTTAAAATCATTTTAAACTAAAAACATACCTGATTTTTCTGTCATTCTCTAATGCTTTGTTGATGAGCTCTGTAATTTCAGAAACTTTCACACTTGCTATTTTGCTGCATCTTAAAACCTGCATGAAAACAAAATGTTTGTGACTGTACAACACTGCATAAAAATGCTGCACAGTGCAAAACTGTCAAGATTAAAAGCCCATCCTAGAGTTATGTGATAAATCAATTAAAATAAACTGAAAACGAGTAAAATTTGACTAAAAATATTGAACTAACACATATATAACAATACCTGGTCTTTCAGAAGCATGATCCCTCCACTAGACTGAATGGAGCAGATCTCTCTATGTTTGTTCATTGCTATCACCAATAATCCATCCTTCACTCGCTCTTCTCGTTCACAAGGGTCCACAAGCAAATAAGAGCTTAGGAAGGAATAACAAGTAACATGCATGAATAAAAACAATACATAGTGTTTGCTACAAGTCAAGTCACCTTTTTTTATATAGCACTTTATACAACAGAAATAGTTTCAAAGCAGCTTCACAGTATTAAATAGGGAAGTAACACAATCAAAGATGCAAACTTAATCAAATATAAGGCAAATGCTAATTCTGCTGTAAAGCAGCTCTAAAAAGACAATAGTATATTTATTCAGCCTTAGTTCAGTGCTGATTCAGTTCAGTTCAATAATACAAGTTAACTTCAGCAGTAAGCAGCTCAACTGAAGACAGTGTTCAGTTCAATGTTGACTCCTTCTATTTCAATCAGTGTCAATGTTCCAAATTTTGTCAGTAATAAACAGGCAAAACTAACTAAACAAATTCCAGTGCAATTGTTTTTCTAATTGGCTCCAGAATAAAACCAGTAAAACTTGTTGTAAGAGATTTTGTGCATGTGATGTTTCTTACCCCTGCAGGAAAAAAGCAAAGCTGACACATATAGGCATGTGATATATGCTCAGTGGAATAGGATCTCTCTCCTCTGGACTGAACTGTTAAAAAAATTATAGTATAAATAACTAATACAGAATAAAAACACAGACTGCGATTTTAAGACTCACCACAGTGATGTCTCGTCCCTGAATAGCAACATCCGGCCGCCTAAAATGTGAGAGTGCAGATATGGCAGCAATGCTTGCTGCATCCATCAAGTTTCCGTCATGATTTAACACATGGACATCAACCCGTATTTGCCAAACCTATCAATAATAGAGGTACAGCGAGTGAAGGGCCATTGCATGTGGGACATGGGATAAATGATCTGCTATGGTTTTTTTAGTACGAGAAGGAATTATACTACTGTTCAAAATGCTCACTAAGGCTACATTTATTTGATGAATAATAAAAGTAAAAACAGTAATATGTATATAGTAAGTGAAACATTATTACAATTTAAAATCATTTTTGTACGTTAATATATTTTAAAATGTAATTTATTCCTGTTAAAAGCTGAATTTTACATTACTCTAGACTTTGGTGTCACATTATCCTTTAGAAATCATTCTAATATGCTGATTTGGTGCTCAAGAACACATTATTATGACTGTTGAAAACAGTTGTGCTGCTTAAATATATTTGTTGAAACCCATTATAATGTTTTAAAATAATATTTAAAAATTATTTTCAGGATTCTTTATTGAAAAGAAAGTTCTGTTTATATATGAAATGGATTTTGCTGTAACAATCTAAAAGTCTTTACTGTCAGTGTACTTTTGATCAGTTTAATGCATCCTCGCTTAATAAAAGTATTAATGGCATTAAAAAAATGTACTGGTCCAAACTTTCCAATGGTAGTGTTTTATATATGTTACATGACAGGTATCCATATTACCTTTTCTCCTGAAACTACACAGAGAGACTCTGTGTCTATGCATTTAGAATTCCTCAGACACCTCTCAAGCTGTCTGTTTAACATCACCAACAACTCTGACTGCCTACAAAACACACACAGAAACACATTGAGAAACTCCCAGGCATTAGGATATAAAAAACAGAGACAGAGAGAAAGAGAATAATTTGCAAGACTGTGTGTAAATAAGTGTGAACCTGTTTGGCTCAAAGGCTGGTGATGCCATGGGAGACAATTCCAAATTAAAAAACATGATGCCTTCTGTGGGACGTGAATCTTTTGGAGGGACCAACTCACAAGACACCTGACACAACACTCTGAAAGGAAAAACACGTGTTCAAAGTGGGTTTTCTGAGGAAGTACCCCTGCCAAAATGTATTATCTTCACTTATCATGCAAGTGATTATTTGTTGTGACTTTAAATCGGTAGTGTAGGGAAGCACGTCGTTTGTAAACACTGTAAATGTTAAAGCAACTATGACTGATACCTTGTTCTCCCAAGTTCCACGATGCAGCAGCCATAATCAGTTCCAAGACTGATTTTAATATTCCGGTAATCATATGTTTGTCTCCCATCTAAGCGCTACAGAATACAGAAATATGGTTTAGCTGGTAAAATAGAGATGTGGATTGTAGAATGGCAATAATCAAAACATTTTATTACTAACGATATCACATCCAAATTATATTGACAAGGTGTAACTTACTTTTTTCTCTTCTATAGCTTTAAGAAGAAAACGCCTCTCGCAGTTTGACAGCGGAGTATCCCTCATTTTGACAGCCTGAAAACATCAAATAAACAACTGGATCTATCACTGCATCCTCTCACACGCTTCATTCAGCGTAGAACCTGCGCACCGTTATGACGTAAGTGTAACAGTGGCGCACGGTATTTGCGTTTGCACTGAAAGAGTGATCAAACAGGTCCCGTTGTTTCAAATTTCAGGTTCCACCAAAAAAAGAAAATATGAATGAAAATTAAATACATCATATATAAATCTATAATTCCGAATAGAAAATGATGTGGATATAGATTTTTTTTTTTTTTAAGATGTAGTTGCTAAAAGGCTATTTTCTCTTTGTTCAAGGTATAAAATAATAAATCAATAAAGAATAGCACTTTCTGACTAATAATATTATTATATTAAATTATATTATTTATAATATTATTATATTACAGTAAAATATTTCTGCAATAAAGGTATATAGCCTTTTTTTTTAAGTTCCAGATCAGCACCAGGTCAAAAGAAAGCACAATGCCCTATCGTTTTTCAGACATAATTTTGTTGACTTGTATATTTAAAATGTCTTATTATGTGTGTGTG